TTCCCAAATGACAGCACTGGGCCAATCAGGAGACCCCTAGCAATTTCACATGCTGGGCAAGACACCTGTATGTGTGTATATATACATACACCCCTACCATTTACTGTTGGCTGTCATATCCTCCAGGATGAGGACATCTAGTGGTGGAAAGGAATTAGTACAGGGGGGACAGTGTTGATGAGATGAGATTTGCAACTGGAGCTGCATTTTATTTTTTGATTACAACCTAGGGTGGATAGAAAAAAGAAATAAGCCTGGAGGTAGGCTTTAAAGTGTATATCATGGCAAGAAAATCTATTTTTTAAATTATGGTTAGAGCAGGGAAGGAATTCAACCCCAGTGTAGTTTTTACTGATATCCAAGGTTTCGTTAGAGAGATTTCCCCTCACTTCTGGCCTGCTGAAAGAAAATCTGCAACTAGGACGCAAACTGCAATAAACATCTGACGGGTTTTAGCTTTCTCTTCTTCCCTAATAATAATAATCAGTTTAATGTCTGTCTGCTTTGCTGTGGGAGTGTTCCCATCACTTCCTGTCCAGTAAAATGTTGTCAGCAGCACAGGAGGTGAGGGGGAGTCTATTTAAAAGAGACCCAGAAAGTAGTAAAAATCTGATGAGTTCTAATCCTTTCCTGCTCTATTCAAAGCTAAAAATGAATTTGGCTTGGTGTATACTTTAGGGAAATTGTGAAGGTGCCCTGTCCTGTCCATATCTCAGGCAGTAGCTAATGTCCAAACAAACTGAGCCTGGCTCGGCTGTCCCCCAAAAATGATTTGGCAAGGCCTGTCTGCTGCTCATAGGCATAATGAAGATTGCATGATCTAAAGATTCATAAGGTTTTGTTTTGGGTTTTTTTCAAATGTTATCATATGCCAGAGCCGTAGCTAGCTCCTTTTGCGCCCGAGGCAAGAACAGAAAATTGTGCCCCCCAACAGACGTGTGATGTCACCCTATGCCACGCACGGCGTCATGTGACGTCATGCGCCCCGCCTCCAGAATGGCGGCACCAAATAGCATAAAAATTTGTTTTGTTTGTTCATTTAGTCTTTGCACATGTCTAATTGTGTGTGTGTGTGGTGGGGGGGTGCGTTCTGGGGGCTTTGGGGAAATATTGGGGGGTCTAAACAGACCTCTGACATTTCCCTTTTGAAATAGAAAAAGAGATTGAGGACACAGAGTCCTCTGCCCATTCGGCGGGGAATGCGAGGAGAAGCTGTGTTGGACGTCTGGCGCCCCTGTTGCCAATGGAGCCCTGTGCTCGCCATGGCAACGGGCCAGGGGGCGCAGCCAGGCTGGCCCTGGCTACGCCCCCTCTCAGCTGCGCCTGAGGCGAGTGCCTCACTCGCCCCATGGTAGCTACAGCCCTGTCATGTGCAGATAGGTTTATGTATTCAGCTGGTCGCATGTACAAATCTACAAATACAGGAACCTATGTGTGTCCAGATTTCATGAACATCCTTTCTATAGCCATGATAAAAGGATCTTAAATGTAAATCTAAGTGAAACGAGTGAATCAGTGGGCCTGTCTTCAAGAACCCATGGGAAAATCATATAATGACTTCTCATTATTCTTCTGCAAGTGACTTGGGAGTGACCCGTATTTAATTGGCTATGTGTGTGTATTTTCCTGCATCTGGATTTTGCTACCATTTGAAATCTGTATAACATAAACATAATGAGTGGTGTTGTCAGAAAGCAACTGGTGTGCACGGGGGATGAAAGAAAGAGCTGTATGGGAAACCAGAAATCAATCGTTCTAATGAAAGAGCTTTCTACACACAGGTTTGCACTAAGTTACTCTGGTTCTGGTTCAGTTTCTGGCTGTCTTGCAGAAAATGATAATGACTGGCCAGGAAAATCCATCCTGAATCCCAGGCTTGCCGGGGAGCATCAGCCAGGGTCATGGAGGTGGCTACACAGATAAATACATTCGCTGATCCAACAGTGAAGCCAGACGAGGAGATTACCCCATAATGTCTGCAGGACTCTTTAGAACTTTGACTCTGCTGAGTCTATAGTTAGGTCCTAGTGTAATATTTAACCATAGTTAATATTCAACATTAGTTAATCACCTAAACAGGTTTATATGAATTTAAGGGAGAAAATATCTCTGTTCTTTTATTAACGATTGAAATAAATGCCGGCACCTACCACAGTTGTCACCCAACACCTACAGCAGCCCTTATACAGTGGAGCGTCTGAACTATTTTAGAAATGCCAGTGTTGAACGACTTTGGGCTTGTATCAATGACATCAGTTTGAGATGCTTCTAATGCTGGGCACACACCTGACAAGCATCGCAAGACTTTTGTCTTGCGATGGTTGTAAGGTAATTAAAAAAACGTACGATCTGCCTAATCTTGGACAGGCAGATCATACTTGCGATGATCGCAATGCTGAACGGGCAGTGTGCGCTTGCGCACACCGGCCCGTGCGGCATTTATCTTACGAACATGCCACACACCCGCCGACAATCGTACGATTCTCGGCGGGTTTTCAAACATGTTCCTAAGATAAAAGTTGTGCGACCTTACAGTAGTAGAGGTCACACGCCTTCCATACACCTTGCGATAATCGTACGATCGCGGGATTTCCCGCGATTATCGTACGATTATCGCAAGGTGTGTGGGCAACTTAAGAGAACTCAGAATTCATTGACAGGTGATTTGACCTGCAGCCGACCTCCTCCATTGGTGATTGCTTAGTTTCTGTTGATTTCTTGACAGTTCCTGGTGGCTTGAAAGTGGTTGTAATTGACTGACTAGTCACAGTGTGTATGACCCACATTCCACTTTAAAGCCCTACTCCTGGCAAAATATGAATCCCTTGCTCCAACCCATACAGCTAGGTTTCTTATTTCTTAGGTTGCCCACACACCTTACGATAATCGCACGATAATCGCAGGAAATCCTGCGATCGTACGATTATCGTAAGGTGTGTGGAAGCCGTGCGACCTCTACTACTGTAAGGTCGCACGACTTTAAACTTACGGACATGTTCGAAAACCCGCCGAGCATCGTACGATGTTCGGCGGGTTTGTGGCATGTCCGTACGATAACAGCCGTACGGGCCGGTGTAAGCAAGCGCGCACTGACCGTTCGGCATTGCTGTCATCTGAAGCCCGCCCTTCAGGGGGCGTGGCTTGCGATCATCGCAAGTACGATCTGCCTATGCAAGATAGGCAGATCGTACGTTTTTTTTAAGTACCTTACAACCATCGCAAGACAAAAGTCTTGCGATGGTTGTAAGGTGTGTGCCCAGCCTAACCTGAAGCAAGTAATGATTGGCTAAGTCGGCTATCCAGTTCTCTTATCAGCACTTTCCAGATGCAAGTAGACCACTAACCCACCAATGCAGATGTTCCCTTGCCATCCGGTCCCCTTGCAGAAACCTCACTCCTCTTTTGGATCCTGAGAGGACCCTGCTCCTGCACACCTATAGAAAGTGTCCACATCATCCAGGCAGTGACGTGGACATCAAGAACAAAAAACCCATTGGATGTAGAGATGTTAAGAAGAGGAGAGAGGCCTCCTTCTGACTTCTATTTGACCTGCTTCAAGTGGGACATGCATTTCCATAGATTTCACTTAAAATGCAAAACTCAAGTGAAGCCAACAAAAAACTTAGCCTTGCAGCGGGGCTATCCCAGTACGTCATCGCTCGCTATATACGGTACTGAATTTTGGGTCACCAGAGGACATTCATATATGTTCTCCTGTGACCCTGAAGAGACCTATGGGCAAAAAAGGTTGCCCCATAGTTCTCCTTTAACCCTTGCTTTGCAGGGGGTAGCCCCACTGCACAGATAATATTTTTTTTTTGTTTGTTTCCCCAGAGTTCTTTAAACAGTACAGATTGGACCCTGACTCTTTCTCAGGCTACTGAGTGCACAATGAAAGATTAGCAGTTATGTTATAGAAGTCTTTTGAACTGACCTTACACTGTAAGAGCAGGCACTGCCATATGCCAATACAATAAATGGACTTTCTGAAGTGTGGCATTCTGGTAGCCCCCAAGTTAAATCCAGGGGCACAAAGCTAAACATGGACAAAAACTCCACTGCAAAGCAGGAAGGTTAAAGGGTAGTAACATCTAAAAATGGGAACTTCTTAATCACAGAGGTTTTTACATCACATCACTCTGTAGATGCAAGTGGATTGAGAATGGAATGGATACCACGTTCTGCAGAGCCAGTGATGGGATATAGTAATATTTCCTGACATTCTGTGGGCAGTGTAAGTGGTACTTACAAGGCTTTAATATTTTCAGGTATAGGGTACTGCTGAGCCAGGAATGGAGGCATAGAGACAATTTCCTCGAACACTGTGATGGTAGGGTTGGGGAAAGGGAAAGAAGCGCCATTCATGCAGACTATGTAACTGCACAAGGGCCCTCTAGATCCATTTGCACAAGCTGTGAATCGCGATGGTGCAGCTACCCTCTCCTGCTCCTGGAAGACATGGACGCTGCATACTTTTAGGGCTGGTAAGAAACATTTTTTATAATGCCCTAACAGTCCCCCCCTATTTGAATGGGGGGCCCAAAAATGTTCTAGTACAGGCCCTTTGCTGACTATGTCCACCATTGGTTCAGGGTGACAAAGGTATTTTCAGTGGCAGCACACTGCTGAGTAAGGGATGAAGGACATAGCCTTCCAGTTATAATGTGCTGCTAAGCCAGAGGTGAGGGGGCAGGAATGTGTCAAAGAACACTGAAATGCTGAATGGCAAAAATGTGTAAGCAGGAAAAGTTGTGTCTGGGGAAAAAAAATCACTGTATAGGTGAATATTAGCTGTACAAAAAGACTGTATTCATCAAATACTGATGTGGATGTGCAACTATGTAAAGCGCTGCGTACATTGTCGGCGCTATATAAATACCTGTAATAAATAAATATAACTTGTTCTAAAATGCCCTATCCACTTCAAGCACGGAACAATGCAAGGAATGATACATACTAGTGTGTGTTTAATCCTTTCCTGTTTCTTTTCATACTTTCAGAAAGAGGAGTTTTTTGTGGACATGACCTGCGAAGGCTGCTCAAAAGCTGTGGAACGAGTCCTCTCTCGACTTCCAGGTAACAGTATTGCGCTATTCAGTTTGTTAAAGTGTCAGTCCACCTATAAGTGATTCTTTAGATACAGGCTGGTGTGCTGAGCAACCTGCTGGCATCTTGTATCTCATGGTGATTCCAGTGCTGACCTTTCCTGCCATAGTTCCTGACTCTCTGCTTATCCACTGTGGAGTTTGTGTCTTTCCACACACGTTGGGGTGTTGCAACTCCAGCTAACACATGGTTCATAATGAGAATAAAGAAACCAACGGTAAAGCTGACCCCTCTTAATAGCTGTGGCAGATTGGGAGCTCTAGTTCAGAGATTTCATCAGTAGAGTCCCTAAAAGATATAACCAACAGTTATTTGGCTTAACTGTTCAGCCTCTGCTACAAAAAATGGGAAACTCTTCCTGTTCTGTAAGTTTTTTGTCTGACCCTCCTGTTTTTTCTGTACCTCTTAGATGTCATCTGAAGCTCCTCATAGGTCTCCATTAGTCAGTGAGGTGCCAACCAGTGTTATACAATTCCAAAAAGATGATGATTGCACACAAATGGTCCAGGTTTGGTCCTTCTTTTATTTAGTAAGCAACACAAAAGTCCTGACACATTTTTAAAGGATTGCTAAAAAAAAATGTGCTGCAACACTTTAATTACCAGTGTAACTGCATTTACAGTTTTCTCAATGTCCCTATGCAAAGTCCTACAAATACCTGCTTATCCTACCAGTGAAGTCCACCTAATGCTGCTTCCTGCCATGGTGTGGAAACAATGCGGCACTGCTCCTGAATTCAGAGCAGATTTGTCTCTCTCGTGTAGACTGCCTGCTTAGACTACAGCGGAAGGAGAAGATTTTGCAGGGGGCATGGCTATCAGCATTGTCACTGCTGATTCACAAGCCTGTAGATTGTCATCCAACACCCGGTCACACTTAGTCCTGCCCAATGTTTTCTGGATTTAAGCTGGCCATGCACCTATGGATTTTCGATCGGAAATTTTCTAGAATGATCTAGAAGAACCCACGGTAGGTTCTAGCTCAAGTAGCCCATCAAGCACAGACCAATGTCCATTTCGATAATCGTTCGTTAGCAATATTAACTCATAAAGTTAATTTGACATAAATTTTGTCAATCGACAGAATGGATTTTTTTTTCTTTTTTCGTACGAAAGCGCCACTAATCCATTGATTATCGTTCAATTCAAAAAACGTTTTCCAACCGCACCCTTTGAGAAATTTTGAGCGGGATTACAGTAAAAAAAAAAAAAAATCATTGGTGTCCAATCACCTGTTCGATTATCGTTCGAAAGACCATTCGTGGAAGATTTTCAAACGAGCATCGAAGAGTGTATGGGCACCTTTACAGCGCTGACTCGGTGGCTTAAATACTCTCACTGTGCAGTGTGTGGAAGGGGGAGCATGTGAGACGTGTAGGAGGATTTAGCTCCATTAGAGGAGATTTTTTGTTTTCCTTTATGAGGCTTTTCCATCAAAGTGTAGTTGGATTTGGTTTCTTGCTGCACTGTCATACAGGAGACATCAGTTGCACTTTAATTCTATAATCTGCAGATCCGCACCAGAGCCAGGATGGAGGTGGGCCAGTCTCTCTAGCAGCAGCAGGTTTCATTACATACCCACAAGGGCCTTTGTACACTTCAGAATGGGTTATAACTTGACCATATTACATTCGAAACCAGAACCTCCTACCTCTGCCTCTCACAAAGACATATGATGATGGCAGTCACTGGCTCTGGTCTGTTGCTGTATGATCGGTAAGAGATCGTATGTTCCAGTACTCCTCATATATCCCTGACTTACTGTTCTCAGAAGCAATGAACAACCAGGTTGGTGATGTCCTTCTACTTTTCCGCTCCCTCCTTCATCAACATAAACATACATTTTAATCTCCTGAGTATGCATGTTTTTGAGCAGATCTTTGATGATGTATCTGATGTCTGTGACTAACTTTAGTTGCAGTTCCACTAACGTAACAATCCTACAACCCTTTTATTACATGGGGCCACAGGTTAGCATTAATGACCTTTTCTCCAGCAGCACATACTTTTGCGTCTTCCCTTCACCACTTCATCCAAATGCCGAGAGCCGAAATAAAAAGTTACCTGGTACTTCTTAGTATGAAGGAGCATGTGATTCACTCCTTGTGAAAGCGCTGGGCAAGAGTGAATGCTACTCCATGAAAGATATATTACATGGGGTAGCTTCTCCTGCTCCCAGCAGCTGAACAGAGGGGTGGGGGAGTGAAGAAACGAGGAGTATGTACTGCTGCTGTTAAGTTGTTGCACAGATAAAGGATTGATTTTATACCCAATCTGCCGATATCTGGGTCTGGTATGGCTCACCTCTTCTCCTTAAGGCTGGTAGATATCTGCTAACATATCAAATAACCAAATAATGGCAGCTATAGTCATACAAGGGCCATACTGGCTAAATATGTGTTCCAATATTGACCTTTTCTGTTGTCTCTTGCACAGACCAGGACTTTGACATGGGTGATAATCATCCATATTGGTCAGATTTGCCCATGCTTCCCTCAGTCATTGTAGTCACAGCAATGACAGATGATTTCTGACTTGCTGGGGGGGGGAGGGGTGAGGGTTAATAAACTTGTCAAATTGCATTCCGCAAAGACTAGTGTTTCTCTGAAATGTCCTAAGCTCAGCTATTGTCCCTGTTCCCTGGCTTTTAAATTCTCTTTCCAAGCCATGAAACTGTTTGTTCACAGTGAGTAATCAGGACAAACAAACTTTGAGAACTGAAGTAAATATCCGAGCACAGAGTTCTTTATTATACTGTTGGGTCTTTGCCCATATGGAAGCTTGTTGATCGCAGAAGGCTGGAGCAGTAATGGAGAATAAACTATGCATTTTTTATTGGTTGTATGTAAAACTAAAATCTCCATTAAATGAATCTGTCTAATGGAAAAGCAGATTATGTGAGCAAGGGCTAGAAGCTTTGTTGGGGTTTTTCACTGTCTCTATCCTTGTGATGGAGTGTTTCCTAGGGAGGGGAGATTGGGATCCCCTCCCTAGGAAACACTCCATCACAAGTCCCCAACTGCTTTTATATTTTTTTATATATTTTCCTTTTCAGAAGGCTACAGCCTGTCACGTGATTTACGAGGTCCTCTTCATGATGAAGAAAATGTACTCAGCACTGTTCTCTGAATCTTGTTTCCCAGAAATAAGTAATGAAGGCAACCAAAAAAGTTATTGCCCTCATCATCACCAACTAGTGTAAACTGCAAACTAGTCACTCCAAAACTGCTCTCTATCAAGACCAGGCTTTTTGAATTATGCTTTTTTTTTCAGGGAAATCAATAAAATGCTCCTTTGCTGAATCCAGAGATCCAGCCCCATACCCCCATCATTTGGTTACGATGTATGCCCATAGTTAAAGTAGAATTAAAGTCTCTGGTTTTTTTTACTTTTCTTCTGCTAGCAAACAAAAATGTAAAAAAGTTACCAAACAGGTAAATACTTACCTCTGTCTCTGCCGCTCGCTCCCGGCCTCAGTACACAGGTCCCGAACGGCCGTGCAGGAGGAGGATGTGGGCGGACGCATGCACAGTCCATATCACCAATGGGGAGAACAGGAGAGATTCAGTAGCAGTGAATGCACACGGCCGAGAGCGTGCATGCCGGACAGACTCTGTGGGGCAGGAAGAGACAGCAGTCTGCGCTGAATCCGGCCCCAGCGCTGCAGGGACTGCTGGTAACAAGTGGAACGAAGAAGATGATCGGATCAAGAGGCATCATTTAAAGTGATATTAAAGCCTCCTTTTTTTGAAAAAAATTTCCTACAAGGAGACCCACCTTTGATTGAGGCTGTTGCCGTTTTTCTTTAAAAGTTTGTAATTCCTTGTTTTATAGTGGGTCCCCGCAGCAATCGCCCCTACATGGGTGCCTCCATCAGCTAATGGAGGCACACGTGCGCGCTCATGCCCGCAGTGGCTGTGTGTGTCCATAGACAAACACAGCCCTGCGGTAGACCACTCCCCTCCTCTCCACCCAACAATTTGATGGCAGAAGGAGCCCATGACTCCTTTTGCCATCATTATCCTCCCCTGCAGCCAGGAAGTTCGGAGAACGGAGGATCGCTTCAGGACCGGCGGCGGAAGCGAGCGTAGCTGACAGGTTAGTCTGGGGTGAACAGGGGGAGAAAAATAGGTACTGGGCCGGTTTTCCCTAATGCAGAGAATGCATTAAGGTAAAAAAATGCCCAGACCTTAATACTACTTTAAAGTAAGTACTTAAAGCAGCATTATAATGGGGGGAAACATTTTAAGGGTTTAATGTCTCGTTAAGAACCAAAGTCCCAGAGACACCTTTCAGAGGTATACAAACTGGTGTATGGTTCAGCTTGCCAGTATATTCCAAACAGGTTTTGGTTGGAAACATTCATGAAGATTTCTTTCCCTTTTTAGATGTGAAGTTTGAAATTGACTTGCCGAACAAGAAAGTGCTGATACAGTCTGACCAAAATTCAGTAGACCAATTGTTAGAGACCCTGAAGAAGACTGGAAAAGAGACTAAATACCTGGGCTGTAAAGTCTGAGCAGAGTGGAAGGAACTAGCATACGGTAAACCATTCTATAATATGCTGTGTTTTGTCATGCAGTAAAGTGGGATTCCCCGTTGCAGCATCCCTTAATGCAGTGAGTCAAGCTTATCCTTACTTAACTACTAAGTCACTGACTCAGAAGAAGCATAAAAGCTGGCAATATACTGCTCGAAGTTTGGCCGGATCCTGCTGACAAGCCGAAATAGAAGCTGTGGGTGGCCCTCGGCTGTCAGAATACAATAGCCCAGCAGTGTAGATTACCCCATCTTGCGAGGCTGGATGCTTGGTGTATGGCCAGTATGTCAGGACTCATCAAGTAGTGAAAGTAAGTATGTCTGCAGCTTTGAAAAACAAGCTAACATTGGCAGCTCCCATATTTCTGTCATAGTACAGCCGGCTTTCAGATTTTCTGATTTACCTTCACATGTCTGGGTCTGGAGGCAGACTAGGTGTGGCAGACGCAGCTAGATAAACCCAGTGCTGGGGAGAGATTTGTAGATTCCTGTTCTGTAACTAGGAGGGTGGAATATGATGGACGCTGGCAATAATTTTTATAGCGTTCCTTTTTTTTTTTCTTTTGTAAGTTGTATACTGGCAAACAAATGGGTGGACTTCTAGCATTTACCTAAATTTACTTTAATTAGACGATGTGTGGAAGTTAGTCTTGCACATCTAGAACTTCCCATGCACTCTATGGTTAGATGCAACGTATTACAAACAAAACATTCATAATTAGTGACAGTATGGAATCTATGAAAAGATGCCACTGGTTTTTGGTTTCTTTGTTGTGTTTAGTTAACCTAGTACCAGTACTGATGCAGTTTTGGGGACTTGTACAGGCAAATTAAATAGTGCAGTAGTAGTGTAAAGAAAACCAGTACTGAGACATCCAGTATATGGGGGCTGCCTTTGCTAACTTCTTTCTGAAACTGCTAGATTCCTGGCTATCTCTAGCGTCTATAGTTTCTGAGACACTGACCTAAAATGATACAGACAAATATGGACACCGGCACTCCAATGATAGAATACATCTATTTAATGACGTACGTGCAATAGCGAAGTTTCGGGGTCACGTAGGATCCCCTTCATCAGGCAGAGCTTGTTTTCTGCCTGATTCTATCATTGGAATGCCGTTATCCATATTTGTCTGTATCACAGAGACGGTGACCATCCGTTGACTGCCGTTGCACCCATCTTATCTTAATGATGAGCGGTCAGGAGTGCAATGGGTACATGGACTGTAACTGACCTAAAATGAGCAGGACAATTAGGAAAGTCAAGATCACATCAGAACTCCTAATTGGCATGCTTGTTTTGTAGGCCCTTGACTAAGAAAGTACTGAAGCCATTGGATCAGCGTGACAACCAGGGAACTTGTCATTTCAGGGATCAATAATCTAGGCTTCCACGCTTCTTTATTACGGGCTTTTTAAACCATCATTTTGCAGCATAAATGCCAGTTTAGAAGCAGCTGGCTTTTTGCATCCTAAACCCTTTGTAACCTTGTTGCAGGTCTGATCTTCTCACAGGGTGTAGGTGGGATAGGAAGAGACATGGGACTCTTCACTATTAAGGCTGTGACACACTGCATGCAAAGCGGTGGCACTCTGCCTTCACGTGCAGTGTGTCATGTCATTTTCTTCCCAGCATGTCAGCTTGCAGGAGCGTGCCGAGATGAAAAATGTAATCTTCAGCCAATCGGCTCGCGCGTATAAATCCGCGCCTTACGATGCAAACTCCATACAGTTGTTACACGCGAGCCGATTGGCTAAAGATGCAATCATTCATCTGGCTGCACTCAGCTCACACACTGCATGTAAAGCTCCGTGCCTGACGGCTTTGCTTCGCTCTGCACGGCTTCGCATGCAGTGTGTCACGGGCTTAGGGCAGGTTCACACCATTTTCCGGACCAGATCTTGTCTGAAAAATGGTGTGAACCTGCCCACAGTTCCAGTGCATGCCAGACCAGACAAAATGAGACGTGCAGTATTTTTCTGGTCTGGTCTGGTCTGGAATGGACTGCGCTGGTGTCAACAGAGGCCCAGAAATAGCATAGGGATACATTAGGATGCATTTTGGGTCCGGGAACAGTCTGGTCTGGTTTGTAGATGATGTGGTGTAAATGGGCCCTTAAGCCAACATCACAGACTTTGCCTCTTCCATCTTCCAGGTGCATTCCAGGGGTGAGTTGAGGCACAGAAAAACATGCTATAGCGTGGTTACTAATGGCTCGGGATGGCACATGGGGCTAAAATAAAGCATATGGTCAGCGCTCACCTCTCTCCCCTACCGCTCCGGCTATGGAATGTCCCTCGGCCGCCTCACATTTAATGCATTAAAGACAAGGACCTGCATTATATGTGATGGAATCAGCAGTCCTTAGACCGCTGGAGCCCGGGGGAGGAGAGGCTGCAAGGACCAGTCTAGCAGTCCAGCGGGACCGGGATCAGGCGAGTATATCTGCTTTAGTTTAACCCCTAGACAAAACAAGCACTTGCCCCCTGCTGTGGAGATGTAGCCCTAATGCAGTTTTTAAATTCCTAGAGTTCTTGTTTAAGCTTTGAAAATTAAAGATAGAAGCTGATTAGTTGCCATGTGTAGCTGCTCCAGATTTTGCCTCCATTCTTAGTACATTCTCCTCTCTATAATTTGCTTGTTCTTGTCTACAAAGCTACATCATAGATGAAGTTCTCCTTTTTAACTGAACAACATTTGCATTTTGATGTGACAGCTTTGTATTCCCTAAAGGAAACCACCCTCCTTAAGGGCCCAGTCCCACCATATCCAGTGCGTCCCGGTGCAGTTCGCGCCCGGAACACACTGGATTGCATACATGAAGCCGGGCCATGTTCTGGGGCAGGCGGGGGCGCCATTTATGCCAATGGCACCGCAGACATGCCCCTCGCCGGCAGTGCGATCGCCCGCACTGGAACACAAGGAACAGGAGTATCCTTCATTCCAGTGAAGTGCGATCTGAAAAAACGCTGCATGCACTATTTTTTAGGAACGCTTTATGTATGCGATCCAGTGCGTTCCGGGCGGGAACTACACCGGGACGCACTGGATATGGTGTGACTGGGCCCTAAGGGCTTGTTCACACCATTTCCAGGGCAGATCTGGACCAGAATAGTTTTTGTCCACGCCTGTAGTGCATCCCAATGTATTCCTATGATATTTCTGTGATCTGTTCACACCAGTGCAGTCTGTTCCCGTGCAGGCGAAAAAAATGCTTTTTTTCTGGTCCGGAACGCACTGGACTGCATTTGAAAGCACATTTTAAGCTAAAAAAAAATAATTCTAAAATGCACTGCACTGCGTTTCCAGATCTGGTCCGGACATGGTGTGAACATGGCCTTAGTACTGTCAATGCTTGGTAAAATAACCTACATCTTTTTTCTTTAATGCACAAAAACTGCTTAGCATTCTTTGCTTCTAACCTGCACAAGTAACATAACTGCACGCCAATTAATTCATAGCAGTGTAGACAACCTCACGTTTCAAGGAATCAAGACATATATTTTAGAACTGGAAAAATGCCTCTGCTCAAATCCAAATAGCTTACTTATATAAAACATGTAAGGTGCTAGAGGGGAGTGTCCACATGTTGGCACACAAAATTCTCCATGACCCCTCTGAACATCGCAGTTTGTATACAGTATATTGCAATGGACAACTGCGTCAAAGTCTTCCATCTTGGCTATATATGTGTGTGTATATTGGCTATGTGTGTGTGTATATTGGCTATATGTGTGTGTGTGTGTATGTGTATATATACACTGAGTGGCCAGATTATTATGACCACCCCATCAGTACTTCGTTGGGCCATGAGATGACTTGGTTGGGCCGCCTCGTGACTCCACGAGGTGTTGAAAGGTGATGCGAGGAATACAGTTTGCTTTTTCATAATTTTTTTAATGAAAGTTTAATTCTGTAGTTACTAACTCTTAATCATATTTCCCCTAGAATGAAGCTGGACTCTTGTGATTGGCATCACATGGCTTTCCATAAGGAATTCTTCTCACAATCATAAAGAAACATCTGAAGAGCATAAGTCAAGGACTAACTTTGGGCCTCGCTTATAACATTTTAATAAATAGAAACCGTCTGTGTTGCCTACAGCCAGCAGTTGTATTCAAATTGGCAAATTTCAAATCTCAGTTGGAAGTTTGGATAGGACTGGTCACTATTGACAGCACAGGAAGTTCCTAATTAGGATAATTTTACAAATGGGACCCAGTTATTTATACCTGTACATGTCCCAATAACACTAACCTAACACTAATCTGTTAATATCGATCAGGTGAAGAGCAGAAGCTATTGCTAAGCTAGTTTAGCATACATCAGTTGCCCTTATACCAAAGGCAGCCATTTTGTAAAGGGACTCACTTTAATTAAAGGATTTTATTAATAGTGACAAGATGTACTTAAAATGCAGCAGAATAACTCCTCAACTTTCTAAGCAGAGTGCCAGGGATGTGAGGGAGGTGTGATGGGGAGGGGACAGTCCATGTACCAGCTATGGCTTGTATGGAATAATTCCCAACCTAAATCCCTACCCTTAACTACAGCACAGCTCCTGCATCTTTTGAATGAATTTGAGCATAAACCTGTATAAATCCCACACCTGCCCACCTCTAGACGAGGCCATAAAAATTGAATTTTCTGCTATAAAAGGGATACTGTGCTGGATTTTGCAGTACATTATGCCACTATTTTAAAGCCCAACACTGCCCCCCATCCCCAGAAGACCCCCTCCGAGTACGATATGTACTCGTCAGAACATTCTATAACATCATCAGAATCCTGAGGAATGTTGTTCGAAATTTCGTTTGGTTTTAACATTCGATTTTTGAATGAATGCAGTTTCCAAATGAAAGCCCCGCCCCATTCACTGTTAGAATTTTGTTAGTTCGAAAAACAAATTCTACTCTGCTCCTTTTTTGAGGTTTTTTTTTATGTCCATGTCCCTATAGTCTAAATCGGTTGTCGATTTTCCCCCCTTAACTACCTTAACTATTA